CGCCTCAGTTCAAGCTGCATATGAATCATTGATATTTTCCTCTTTAATAGCCTATTTGCAGCACGAGATAAACATGAATATTTGAATGCATGTTGAAAAAAATAAGAACAATTTAATACAAATGAATGTCTCGAAATGAATCGATCAATCAGAGTTTAAAAAAAAAAAAGTCAAAAGAATGACGGATGCCACAGACTTTTTTTCTTTTTTTGGAGGAGTAGGCCTATAGGTGGAATTTTCTCATTAACTTCACGCAATATAACATGATTTTATTATCGTAATTTTGACTTTATTCTTAAAATATTATGACGTTAATCTTATTGCAAACACATTTTTGGCACAGCGGCCCAAAAATCAAACAAAAAAAAGTAAAAAAATAGGCCTAGTGAGGGGATATTTTAATTATTTGTTAATAAACTAATGTTTTCTGAGTCAATGTTGCAAAAATTAATTTGACGAACCTGACTCGCCATCTCCTCATTGGACGTCCCTTTGAGAAATGTATCTTTACGGATTATTTAATGAAAGAGTTTGTGTTTTCGATTTGAATTATTACGTTTTAAAATAGTAAATTAAAGCATCCTATAGATATCCTATAGATAGCGCATCCTGTTTGTTTTCCTTATTTTACAAAAGCACAAGGTTTTGCTGATATTGTGAGAGCACACAAATACAAGTAGACCGTTTGAAGTTCCAAATGATGTATACTCTTACCTTTTATGAGCAAAAATGACGGCGTATTTTTAAGTTTCCACTGTTATTAAAAAAATAAAATATGCAAGTGATCGCGCTGCGCCTCCATGTCCTGCAAAGCGTGCTTTAGCTTCCACTCTCCGCACAAACGATTGGATATGTGCCTAACAGAGCTCATTTATCTAGGTTAAATGTTTAAATGAATACTGTGAAATGCATGAAGTGTTTTATGTCTGTTTTTTAGGCAAGTCGTGTTGTTTTGAGAAGGCTAAATTGATCAAACATAATGCTCAACTCACTGTCTGCCGCTGCCGCTTGGTCGTTCCTTTAAAAAGCAAAAACTTGAATTTAGCAAACATAAAATGTTACAAAAATATTTATAAATTAACTTAAAGAAACAAAAAGAAATATTACCATTTTGCCATTAAAAACCAAAACTGAACTATTTTAATAGCTGTGTAATGGGGAAGAGAAAGAGAGAAAAAAGACACGGCATCCAGTCGGACTCGGGCTGAGAATTCTCATAAGCTGTTGGACAAGGGCCGGGCCCATGCAGGGCTCTATTCGTTCCCTCGTTTCAATTACAAGTTCCCCCCAGCTCGGCGGGCCCCCAAACTGCCTGGGCCCATATGCACCTGCATACCCAGACGCTACGCCACTGGTTTCATACAAGATCTGGCAACTGGATAACCTTGGAATGATATATTGATGTGATTATTCATATAACGAGGTAGGGAAATACAAATGATGGGAGTTTCCCTGGAGAAATAACAAAACTGGAGGGGGGCGGGAGATGGGTGTAAAATACAGGAGACTCCCGGGAAAACGGGAGTGTTGACAGGTATGAAGTTTATACTCACGTGTGAAAGTGTAATGCATTTACTTGAAAGGTTGAAAAAAAAAAAAAGTTAATGTAATTCAATGTACATTCCGAAAGTACGTGAATTCTGACGCAGCTAGTGTCTCTTTATTACAATAAAGGCCTGTGGGTGAAGCCCAGAGGTACTCTACAATAAAGACCAGTGGCCTGTAGCACGAAGCCGGTTTCAGTTTTTACCCAGGTAAGTTTGCATTTAGTTTGAGCAAACTGAGTTTTCGGGCTCAAGAAGGTGAGTTGGTTTTGAGCGGGTTTCGTCACAATGGCAACTAACGCTACACCGCTACCCTTTGAGGTTTTATCAAAGACTATAATGTGATTGATGGTGATTCAACAGCGCAAACAAACTCTGTCCATCTGACTGCTTCAGTCAACATACAGTCATGGCCAAAAGTTTTGGCAGTGACAAATTTTGTGTTTTGCAAAGTTTGCTGCTTCAGTATTTGTAGATTATTTTTCCACATGTTTCTATACTGAAAAACAATGATTAAGCATATCATGAGTTTTAAAGGCTTTTATTGGCAAAAAAATATGAGTCTATTTACAGCGTTGGCCCTTGTTCTTCATAACCTCTGCAACTCGCTCTGGCATGCTGGATATTAGCTTCTGGGCCAAATCCTGACTGAGGGCGATCCATTCTTGCCTTATTAGTTCTCGGAGTTGATCACAATTTGTGGGCTTCTGCTTGTCCACTCGCCTTTTGAAGACTGACCACAGGTTCTCTATGGGATTGAGATCCGGGGAGTTACCTGGCCACGGATCCAAAATTTCAATGTAATGATCTTCGAGCCACATCTTTATCACTCTTGCTTTGCCACATGGTGCTCCATCATGCTGGAAAATGCAGGGATTAT